TGGAGACGCGAATTAATTATTTAAGGGGAGGTAACTGATAACTGACATCTATTAAAATATGGAACTTGGAACTAGAACAGTTTACCCCAGTGAGCGAAATAAAGGGTTCAGTTCGACATTCCAATCATCTGAAGAAGGCTGGAGCGTACAACGGCTGAAAGGTTGTAATATGGCGACAAAGATGAGGACAATAGTCGGAATAATGTAAATAGTGTAATTTTTATTCATATTCTCTTCCTGGAATTTTATATAGGAACATGTCTGTTGATAAAAATTTTAAGTGGTGAGTGAACTACGAACACAATGTATTAAGGTGTAGTGCTATTGACGTCGTAAATCAACCCACACACTTTTTACTTTACGAATGTGTAAGGCAAACAAAAGAAAGAACACAAGAAAATAACTTTTCATAACAGGTACAATATTCATATTTATATATGTCAACGGTTTTACATGAATTGTTAATATGAATTACTTCCCTTTGAAATTCAAGTTAAAGTCTTTACTACCGATTTTTTTTTCTGAGCTCCCAAAAAGTTGAATTACTTGGTCGGTCAAAATGTTCACTGAAAGAGAGTTTAAAGAATCCTGTAAACCTGAAAATATGTTGATAAACTTTTAGCTTTAAAGAAGTTGGAGAAGTGAATGTTCCGTAATGTCTATTTTTTTTTTATTTGCACGTAGTTGAATGTATTGTTCGTAATGTTTGTAATTAACTTTCGTAAGATTCAATAGCGTGATTGAATAGTTTTTAATAAATTCCAGAAGAAGTTTGTGAATAAATTGTTTAGTTGAAATTTTAGCTTGAATTACAGTGAAGTTATTTCATGTTAAAGAACTGTAGATTCTAACTTTGTACTTCGCTGCAGCAATGATACAAGCGTCGTGAAATCGCTTAGCAAATTCTAGTCGTTGTAAATTCTCACTTTTTTTATGTTATAAAAGCATTACAAAAATATTTTATTCTACATTCAACACCGGCACTTGATAGGCTATCAGAAGTGTTGAAACAAAATGCCTATTTTTTTACTGATTTTATAACATATTTATTCAAAAATTTTCGAATAAATAATTATATATATATATATATATATATATATATATTATATTATATATATATATATATATATATATATATATATATAATTATATATATAATATAATATTATATATAATTATATTTTCGAATAAATAATTATATATATATTTTTTTTTCAACCATTGGAAGATAAAGTCTGATGATCCGCAGTCCTTTAAAAGGGCTGTGGTGAAATAATTTATTACATGGAACCTTAAAGTGGTCTGTTTTTTTTTCTTAAATTATTTCCTCTGGATTTTATCCTCTTGGAAATACCCATACAGAATAACCTAGTTGTTCATAAACTATATATATATATATATATATATATATATATATATATATATATAAAGACATTTTTATGTTTATACATTCTTTTTATAGATACACATATTTAAGTAAATGCTCTGTTTATAATAAACAATATTAATAACATTTACCGGCCTGAATGTCTAAGAAATTTCCACAGAAAATATTCGTCCCCCGACAAGATTCGAACCTGTATCCTATACTGAACTGTCATATAGCCTGACGTGCCATAACCGTTTCGGCCACAGAGGAGCGTTCGGTTAGCAAGGTCGATTTTACTGCTTTTTAACTACAATCTTCCATGATACAGTCTCTATACAGTAACATTTACCGGCCTGAATGTCCGAGAAATTTTCATACAAATTATTCGTCCTCCGACAGGAATCGAACCTGTATTCTATAGGGAACCGTCAATTACTCTGACGTGATCTTAACCGATCGAACCACAGAGGCTCGTTCGATTAGCAAGATCGAACTTACTGCTTTTAAACTTTAGTAATCCATGAATCTCTCAAATTCATATTTGCTCATGACCAAAAATTATTTAAGACATTTTCATGTTTGTACATTCTTTAAGGGGGGGGTAACTGATAACTGACATCTATTAAAACATGGCCATTGAAATTTTAGCTTGAATTACAGTGAAGTTATTTCATGTTAAAAAACTGTAAATTCTAACTTTGTACTTCGCTGCAGTAATGATACAAGCGTCATGATATATATATATGTTTGACAAAACAACGCCCTATTGAGCCGCATATTGGCAGGCTCCTGCGAAAGGCACTTGATTGGAACTTTATCTCAATAGGTAGAGTGGAGTAGATGTGATAAGCAACAATAATGTGACGTCTTTTGTTCTTTGTTTATTTTATGTAAATTCTTTTCATATCGTCTGATAAGCTTAATAATCATGAAAAGAAGAATGAAAATCACAATATTAATACATATTTTTTAATCCTATCTAAGCTTTCGGCTTACATAAGCCATTATCAAAGATGAAAATTACATTATGTTAAACACTACACGGACAAAACAATAATGATAGTCTGTTTTTGTTTACATGGAAGATTTCCAAGCAACGACAAAATCGTGCATACGAGACTCTGGAAACGAAAATCGCACCGCAGCTCATGACATCACACATGACCACCCGAGAGTGAAAACGAGAAGTATTAAGTATGGGAAGCCATTGATATAAACCAGTTGCTTCTGTTATCAATTATAGTCATTTAAAATTATTATTTAATAATATTAGTTTATTTTGTTCAGGTTAGGTTTCAACTGTTTTATGTATATAGTTTCAATTTATATATATATATATATATATATATATATATATATATGTGTGTGTGTGTGTGTGTGTGTGTGTGTGTGTGTGTGTGTGTGTGCTTGTTAATGTGTAAAACATTCAAGCATGAAAACTCTATATACTGACTATAGACCTCATCTTTGTTGTCTTTATTCCGTTTTGGCCGTTATCCCCCGTTTGAAGAGGGGGTGGTTCCTCACACCAAAACAACATTAAAAGTCCATATAAAAAATATGTCTGTAATTATGGATCTTTTCCGAGAGCCTGAAGAATGCATTCTTCCTCTTCGAATCTTTTCGTTGGGGTTTTTGACAAATATTGGATCGTTTCTTGGCCTATGGCTGAGATTCGATCAAGGCTTCGACTAGCTTGGACTGGCTCCGGCCTGGACTTGCTAAGACAAGTCATGACCAGCTTTGACTAGGCTCTGACCAGCTTGGACAAGCTATGACCTGTTTTGGAACAGTGGCCTTTGAGTGGAAACACTCGGGTCTCCCACGTTAAACGACCTTGTGTCACATCTTGATTTTGTGGGTGTCAAAAAAATACCATTCTTCCTCGTCAGTCCTTCGAGCAAATCTCGACCTTCCTTCATCCATACTCTGTAGTGCCACGGATCCTGCCTGAGGAGGAATAGCAGCAAAGGTTGAATGACCCGGCTGCCTTCGGTCTGGGAATGCAATCTGATTGTATTAACATTCGCGCGGCCGTATATCAAAACCATATGTGCCTGCTCATGACATGAATATCCTATCATTATTAAACAGAATACTTCTCAGTTAACTCACTACAACACAGATTAAACGTTAAAGTCAGACTAGATACAAATGTACACGAATGATAAATGTCACCTAGTCTACAAGCGCCATCTACCGTAAACATTTTCAAAATTTGCGGACATATATTCCTACACGCTTAATAGACGCCCTATTGAGCTGCATATTGGCAGGCTCCTGCGAAAGGCACTTGATTGGAACTTTATCTCAATAAGTAGAGTGGAGTAGATGTGATACGCAACAATAAACTACGGAAGAACTCAAAATTAAATCGCTGGATTTAAGTATTGCATTAATATTTAAGATTACCTCTTAAAAGTTCAACGGTAATTCTTTTGCCACCACTGAATTTAAAGATAGTTTGATGTACGTAGGTCCTTACTTGCCGTACAAATAGTTATTTTTATCTCATGAGCGACTTTCGCTTAATTTCACAATTCCAAGTTGTAAAA